AGAGAATGATAGATTTGTTGAATCTTAAACCAAAAGGTGCAGAAAAAGTAGCTTACTATCAGGAGCATGTTATCAGGTATTTCATGGCTTCTAGACTTGAGAGAGAAGTAAAGAAGCCCTTTCCATCGATAGAAGTGAAGTATAACATACAGTCTAAATCAGTAACAATTTCTTCAGAGATAAAAAGTGATGTGGAAGATGCTAAAAAAGAGTTTGATGCCTATGACAAAAAAGTACACAAAGTGGAACTTAGAGATTTGTCAGAAGGAATGAAGGACCTGTTATTAAGACAGCACATCAGCGAGTATGTAGCCAATACATTTAAATTGCGTTATCTTCTTTTTATGCGGGAAGAAGATGGTAAGTTTGTATGTGTTGGTCAGTATCTTGGTGATGGAAAGAAACTTGTAGAAATAATGAAAAAATGTATCCTATCTACATCAATCTGGAAAAATTTTCTTCAAATGGACTATGGAAGAGACCTTCTTAATAAGTTTGCAGACAGCATTGTTCAGGAAAATGACAGTAGAAAGAATATAAGCCACATATGTCATACAGCAGATTTACAGGATGAAATAAACTCATTTATTGAAAAATGTATAATGCGTGATTATTACAGGAAAAAATGCAATCCAGCAACATCAGAATTTTTGCAGATTCCAAACTGGTCAATTGTCAGTAAAGTTGAGGAAAAATATAATATGAAAATAGGTTTTGAGATGGAACATATTGTGTTTTATGGGGATTATAGCCTTGGAGAGCAAGCATCCAAAGAATTGGAAAGAAACATTCCACATGATGAGATTATTTTAAGGAATGCAGACAGATATAAGAGTCTTCTAGAGTCAGAAGAAGGGCAGAAAACCATGAATGAAATTTCAAAGGGAAAAAATTGCTGTTGGACCATGACTTGTCAGACAGACAGCAAAGCAGGAAAACTTGTCAAAGTTATGATGAATGGTAAGTTTGTTATATTTTATACTTTGATAAGTTTTCCAATTGAAAATGCTGGCAAATGTCAGCAGGTGAGCTCAAAAACTGATGACTGGGGGTTAACATCTGATTCTTCCTATACATGTAGCTCTAAAGGGAGTTCAATCTAGCTTTTAATAAATTAAAGACATTTAATGCTGAATTGTTAAACTTAGATTCATCTATTAAGAATATTGCTCTGCCACTTCATACATCAAACATCAACATGGAATCTGTATTTTTATTTTCAGGGATCAATCATTTTGTCTCATGGGTTCCATCAGGTGGTAATAGTACTATTTCTCTTGTCGAGGCTGACTTTACCAAGGCTGAGTTTGATGTCCTAGTAATTCCTGTTGATGATAAATTGTGTGGGGAAAGTATATTGAAAAGAGGTGAGTTTGATGTATCACTGTCCACAGTGAGTTTAATACTTCCAAGTCCGAGTCATTATGCATCACCAAAAAAGTGAAATAGAATCCTAATGCCACTAAGGACAAAAACTTTGTGTCTTTGTAGACACTATTAATGAGACCCATGATATGCCAGTCTTATTGACACTAAGATTATTCAGTTTTAAAAATCTTTTATGATCATCTTTCTTCAAATCTAGGTCACCAGGTCAAATCAAAGAAAATCTTTGTTTACACTTAAGAGGTCACATTTATGATTTAATCTTCATTAACCTTAATGTTAGAAGGTCAAGTTTGAATGTAGGTCATCTAGTGTCAAAAATAAAGTGACCATGTTAGATTAGGAAAAACGTTGTTAATAACGTTCTTATTTTTAGTCGTATAACCAATCTGGATGGAAAACTTTGCATTTACCTATGTAACTGTCCCATACTATAAAAAATATGAAGAAACTTCTGGTTATACCATTAGATAAGTGTGACCTAACAGTTTTTATGCCTTACTTGAGAAAGATATAAACATTGCTGTTTATCATAATCATACTTTAGTAAGTAGTTCTTGTATTTCATGCACTCATGTAATTAAATTTAATAACATCCTGCTACATGAAATAAGTATGATCTGGAATCCTTTATAAACTTGACCATCAAGGTCATATTTTGAAATTTAATCAAAATTTCCAATTACTGTAATTTATTGTAGGACTTGGTTTATATTTGAAAAAAAAAACCCTGCAGTTTAAAGGCCAAACCTTCAAATTGATTTCTTCATATATAATCTTGATTTTTGAATGACTTTAACCAAATAAAACACTCAAACTTGTGATGTTTTTTGTAGAAAACCTTGTCTCGCAAAAATGCTTCTTGTTTCTATTTTCAGATGGAATCATTGAAAATTATGGCTCTTTGTTGGATAAAGGTGTGACCGAATCTTTGCAGATTGGTGTCTGCGAATATTTTGAAAACTGCAAAGTATTTGCGTGTAAAACCCTAGTTCTTATTCCTTCATATAGGGTATGTACTTCAAATCAAAAACAGTCTCTTGAAATAATGGCAGCCAAGAACTTTAAGAAAGTGATCTCTGAAGTATGTTCAAATTCATTTTTAAAGAATCAGAGGAGGATTGGGTTTGCTATGCCCACATTCAGTCAAAGATTCTGTAAAAATGTAGCATCTGCATTTTCTAGTGCAGTCACATTATCCACTGAAAACAAGGAGGAAGCTTATCTGTATATATGTACACAAGAGGAAGCTGAGTCAGTTATTGAAGTTGTTGATAAAGAAATCAGTGAAGTCCTTGTTACCAAACATACAAGAAGGATGGTAACAAGTGCTTATAAAGGTAACTGAAAAATTCTTTGCAGTTAATATACATATATTTTAAACTGATTGATTGTTTGTTTGGTTTTAACAGTTTCAACATAATTTGAGTCATTTCTCGGCAGTTGGTTGGCCTAACTAGCTTTTCTGGATAACTAACCAGTAAATAACTGATTTCTTTTCAAGTGACTGACAACTAATCCAGTGTAAGACAAATGAACATTAGAATCTGATATAAATTGTTACTGAGAAATTTTGTCTAGCTCCAGGATCAAACCAGCAAGTCCAGTGTAACAAGCTTGATGATCTCTATTTTTTTTAACTAAGAGGGAAGGGGGGCGGGGGAGGGAACAACTAACATTATGTAGTGTTTTAAAAAAAACCAAAAAATCCACAGACTTTGAATATCATTTTATACATGTCAGCATTTTACCAAGTTATGTACATTGACAGTTAAGTACACAAGATACTTCATTTATTTTATGCTTTTCAGTGGATTACTGATTTATCCATGAAAATTATATTAAGTAATTTCACAGTGAAAATTATCAAAACATAATTTCACCCTTTTCAATGACGAAACTACTTTTTAGCTCACCTGTCACAAAGTGACTGGGTGAGCTTTTGTGATCGCTTTTCGTCCGGCGTCCGTCCATCGTCCGTCCGGCGTCCGGCCGTCGTCCATAAACTTTTACTTTAAATGACATCTCCTCATAAACCACTAGGCCAATTTCATCCAAACTTCACAGGAATGTTCCTTTGGTGGTCACCTTTAAAAATTGTTCAAAGAATTTAATTCCATGCAGAACTCTGGTTGCCATGGCAACCGAAAGAAATTTTTTTAAATATCTTCTTTTAAAAAACCCTAAGAGCTAGAGCTTAGATATTTGGCATGAAACATCTTCTAGTGAGTGTCTACCAAGTTTGTTCAAATAAAAGCCCTGGGGTCAAAATTGGCCCCGCCCCAGGGGGTCATTGATTTTCCCTATATGCATATAGTAAAAACTTAAAAAAAAATCTTTTAAAGAACCCAAAGAGCTAGAGCTAAGATATTTAGCATGAAACATGTTCTAATGAGTGTCTACCAAGTTTGTTCAAATAAAAGCCCTGGGGTCAAAATTGGCCCCGCCCCAGGGGGTCATTGATTTTCCCTATATGCATATAGTAAAAACTTAAAAATTCTTCTTTTAAAGAACTCAAAGAGCTAGAGCTAAGATATTTAGCATCAAACATGTTCTAATAGGTGTCTACCAAGTTTGTTCAAATAAAAGCCCTGGGGTCAAAATTGGCCCCGCCACGGGGGTCATTGATTTTCCTTATATGTGTATAGCAAAAACTTGAAATCTTCTTTGAAAAAACCCAAATAGCTAGAGTTTAGATATTAAGCATGAAACATCTTCTAGTGAGTGTCTACAAAGTTTGTTCAAATAAAAGACCTGGGGTCAAAATTAGCCCCGCCCGGGGGTCATTGATTTTCCTTATAAGTGTATAGCAAAAACTTGAGCTAGAGCTTAGATAATTAGCATGAAACATGGGGTCATTGATTTTCCTTATTATGTGTATAGCAAAAACTTAAAAAATCTTCTTTGAAAAAAAACAAAAAGCTAGAGTTTAGATATTAAGCATGAAACATCTTCTAGTAAGTGTCTACAAAGTTTGTTCAAATAAAAGCCCTGGGGTCAAAACTGGCCCCGCCCCAGGGGTGTCAATGTTTTTAACTATGTGTGTATAGTAAAACTTAAAAAATCTTCTTTTAAAAAGCCCAATGAGCTAGAGCTTAGATAATTAGCATGAAACATGGGGTCATTGATTTTCCTTATTATGTGTATAGCAAAAACTTAAAAAATCTTCTTTGAAAAAACCCAAATAGCTAGAGTTTAGATATTAAGCATGAAATATCTTCTAGTGAGTGACTACAAAGTTTGTTCAAATAAAAGACCTGGGGTCAAAATTGGACCCACCCCGGGGGTCATTGATTTTCTTTATATGTGTATAGCAAAAACTTAAAATCTTCTTTGAAAAAACCCAAATAGCTAAAGTTAAGATATTAAGCATGAAACATCTTCTAGTAAGTGTCTACAAAGTTTCTGGCCTGCCCCAGGGGTGTCATTGTTTTTAACTATGTGCCCAATGAGCTAGAGCTTAGATGTTTAGCATGAAACATCTTCTTATGGGTGTGTGTGTGTGTGTGGGGGGGGGCTATATACAGGTGAGCGACCTCAGGGCCATCATGGCCCTCTTGTTTAAGATTTTCCCCATGTGGTACCTCAATTTCATTTTTGCTGACAATTCTGACAATGTCAGGCTCTTTAAAGAAAAAGCAAAGCTGAAATTGATAAATAACTTAAATGTCGAAAGTAATAAAAAGAAGAAAACTTACTTCTATACTTTTTTTGTTTCATTTTTACAGTCTGAAAAATACATTCCTTCCCCATGCAAAACTGCTCTTGATGACATTTGGGCATATTAAAGTATCCTACGGGCAATAACTGCCGTATGCTTTATGAAAAATTGAAAAGCATTGACAGCCATCACTCGAAGAATAAGTAAAACAAGCCAGCGTTCTTGAGCAAGCTTCCAAGTTTTCCATTTTCCTAGCTCCTTTTCTGAATGTTTTCACATCTGTCAAAACTAATTTTTTGTCTGTTACAATCCTCAAATAAGTTTTCTTTCTTTTAAAAAGGTGTATGACTAACAAATCCAAATTATATCCCTCTTAATCTTACACAATTATTTTCCTCCCATGAAATACACAATTTTAAAAAATGGCTGCTGCTTACAATTTACAAAGCCAGGTCTAATATAAATTCGCATTAAGTAACAAAAATATGGATGGATGGTTGGACTTTTTCTCCTACAAGAATTGTTTGTTTTTATTATTAAAACAAGCGATCATTAATATTTTTTTAATAAAATGAATATATATCACCGTCATTGAACGTTGATTGGTGGACTTATTTTTCAGCTCAAGACTTATTGTTTTTAATGAGAAATTCCGACTAAATGGGGCACTCAATGGGGGAAACAGTTTTAATATTAATGTTAAAATTATGGAAATTTGGTTTTAACTTGTTTTTAAGCATAAAATAAAAAGAAAATTTGTTTGTTTGTTGTGTAAGATGTAATTTTATTTCATCTTGTGAACTTTAAAAACAGTATTCTCACTCGTGGCTACGCCACTCATGAGAATACTGTTTTTAAAGCCCACTCGATGAAATAACAAAATAACAAACAAATATCCTCTATATCTTTTACTATCGAGTATGTACACAATCATGTAATTATACACAAAACTTTGCAATGATACATTTGTATCTACATATACATTGAACTCTTGTTATCTTGATAGGCTTTACCTTATTATTATGCCCCAACTTCGAAGAAGAGGGGGTATATTGCTTTGCACTTGTCGGTCCATCGGTCCGTTGGTCCGTCGGTCCGTAGACCAAATGGTTTCAGAGTGATAACTAAAGAACCCTTAGGCCTAGGAACTTCAAACTTGGTATGGTGATTGGTCATGACAAGTAGATGACCCCAATTGATTTTGGGGTCAAGGGGTCAAAGGTCAAGGTCACATTGACCTTGTAAGCAAAAACGGTTTCCGATCAATAACTAAAGAACCTTAAGGCCTAGGAACTTCAAACTTGGTATGGTGATTGGTCATGATCAGTAGATGACCCCTATTGATTTTAGGGTCAAGGGGTCAAAGGTCAAGGTCACATTGACCTCTTAGATAAAAACGGTTTCCGATCAATAATTAAAGAACCCTTAGGCCTAGGGAATTCAAACTTGATATGGTGATTGGTCATGATTAGAAGATGTTCCCTATTGATTTTGGGGTCAAGGGGTCAAAGGTCAAGGTCACATTGACCTCTTAGGTAATGGTCACAGGGACCTTGACTAAAAAAAGCTTATCCCCTCAATTGCTAAAGAATGCTTTGGTCAACAGTCTTCATATTTGGTATTGAGGTTGTTTATGACTAGTAGATGGCCCTTAACTGTGTCAAAGATCAAGGTCACAGGGATTTTTACTTTTATAAGTTTGTACGCTCAAATGCTTAAGAATGCCTGCCCGCAGTGTATTGATTTTGACATTTTCACATTTGAAGCATGTAGAATACATTACTTAGCAATGTACTGGCTTATTAACCTCAGATTTGGCAGGGAGGTTGTCCTTGAGCTTTAAATAGCCACTGTTGATTCTGACAAAGTGGTATGCGGGGGTTTATCACGCCAGGACAGTGGCAGTTTTTTTCCCATTTAGACAGGGTAAGCTAGGTACCAGTATTTCAGGCACACAGAAGATGCAACTTTTCTTTTATTTTTACTTTTTTGGACGTTGTTAAGAAGGCATGTATACAGTAGAAAATATTATATTGCATGGGTCAAAATTAATATAAAAAATTGAAAACTTGTAAATTCATATTTTCAGAAACTTTATGGCCCAGTAGGAAAGTTCTATGATATCTTGTATGAAGCATCATCTAATAGTCTCTCAAGAAGACATATTAATTGTACTCCTGGGGTCAAATTGACCCTACCTTGAAAGACAATATATCACTTGTTGTCTGTATGGCAAGATCTTAGATATCTGACATGTTGCATTGCCTTATGACTCTACATACACAAGTGATCTTTCAGGATGTCAATTTTTATGCCCCCGGGCAAATAGTAATTTAACCCTCCGTCCGTCTGTCCGTACAAGGTTAGCCTACAACGGCAAGTTGGATTTTTCTTAAGTTCTACCTGTACCAATTGCTTCATAATTTACATACTTACTAATCCATACATAGTATATGATCTGGGCAAGTTACGTAACTATTGCTTCCATTTGCACCAAGTTATGGCCCTTTTCAGCACTTAGAAAATGAACAATGGTTAACCTAAACCGGCAAGTTGGAAATATCTTATGTTCTATCTGGCTTAATAATTTTCACACTTACTTATCAATACAATGTACATGATATTGCCAAGTTATATAAATGTGCCATCCATTTTCCCAGTAATTTTTAGCTCACCTGAGCACGAAGTGCTCAAAGGTGAGCTTTTGTCATCACTCTGCGTCCGTCGTGCGTCCTTCAAAAAATGGCGTCAAACTTTTCAAACAACATCTTCTCCTAAACTACATGGCCAATTGCAACCAAACTTTACAGAAATGATCCTTAGGTGGACCCCTTTCAAAGTTGTTCAAAAATTTAAATTCCATTAAAAACTCTGGTTGCCATGGCAACCAATAAGAAAAACTTAAAAAATCTTCTTCTAAAAAACTGTAAGAGCTAGAGCTTAGATATTTGGCATGAAACATCTTCTAATGAGTGCCTACCAAGTTTGTTCAAATCAAAGCCCTAGGGTCAAAATTGGCCCCGCCCCAGGGGGTCATTGATTTTCCCTATATGCATATAGTAAAAACTTAAAAAATCTTCTTTTAAAGAACTCAAAGAGCTAGAGCTAAGATATTTAGCATGAAACATGTTCTAATGGGTGTCTACCAAGTTTGTTCAAATAAAAGCTCTGGGGTCAAAATTGGCTCCGCCCCGGGGGTCATTGATTTTCCTTATATGTGTATAGCAAAAACTTAAAAAATCTTCTTTAAAAAAACCCAAATAGCTGGAGTTTAGCTATTAAGCATGAAACATCTTCTTGTGAGTGTCTACAAAGTTTGTTCAAATCAAAGCCCTAGGGTCAAAATTGGCCCGGCCCCGGGGGTCATTGATTTTCCTTATATGACTGTGTATAGCAAAAACTTAAAAATCTTCTTTGAAAAAACCCAGATAGCTAGTGTTTAGATATAAAGCATTAAACATCTTCTAGTAAGTGTCTACCAAGTTTGTTCAAATAAAAGCCCTAGGGTCAAAATTGGCCCCGCCCCAGGGTGTCTTTGATTTTCCCTATATGCATGTAGTTAAAACTTAAAAAATCTTCTTTTAAAGAACCCAAACAGCTAGAGCTAAGATATTTAGCATGAAACATCTTCTAATGAGTGTCTACAAAGTTTGTTCAAATAAAAGCCATAGGGTCAAAATTGGCACCGCCCCCGGGGGTCATTGATTTTCCCTATGTGCATATAGTAAAAACTTAAAATATCTTCTTTTAAAGAACTCAAAGAGCTAGAGCTAAGATATTTAGCATGAAACATGTTCTCATGGGTGTCTACCAAGTTTGTTCAAATAAAAGCCCTGGGGTCAAAATTGGCCCCGCCCGGGGGTCATTCATTAGCTTGACTTTTTTTTTATAGATATATACATATTATTTATATACATATATATTTAATATTTACATATATATATATATATATATATATATATATATATATATATATATATATATATATATATATATATATATATATATATATATAAATGTATATATATATATATAGATATATATATATATATATATATATATATATATATATATATATATTTATGTATGTATCTATATATGTATATATGTATATATATATATATATACATGCATACATATATAACCAAGTTTGTTCAAATAAAAGCCCTGGGGTTTAAACTGGCCCGGCTCCAGGGGCCTTTATACAGGTGAGCGACTTTGGGCCATCATGACCCTCTTGTTCTTTTTGTCACTTTGCAAATAGGGCCTTGTATGGTTAACCTATTCCGCCAAGTTGGATTTATCAAAAAAATTCACCTAATAATGATATCTTTCATATTTGGTAGGTGAAAACCTTTAACTGTCCTCTAATTTTTTGTGGCGTTAGGCGTGACACTCTAGGTCAAAGTCACTTGTGTAAAAAATTAAATCTAAACATTTCTGCTCATACAGCCTTTATTTTTAAGTTAATGTCTTTCATGTTTATAATAGTCATGCTAAGGGAGGTCCTCTTCCTTTTCCTTTATTAAGGGGTCATTTGGGTCAAGGCCACCAATGTCAAAAATAGATTTTTTACACTTTTACAGGTGAATTAACCTTATTCTGTCAACAGCATTGTGAATACCCACGATTGATAAACATGTCACATAACATGCAATCAACCGTGGGTAAAATGAATCGATTTGCGTCGATATACAGCAACAGGTGCGTAAAATATCTACCAATGACATCGCGTTTAACAAATCTATATTCTTCAACAGCAGAGGTAAAAAACAATAAGACACAAAATGGCAGCGCCCACGGTTAAAAACTGTTGTACGTGTCTTGCTAAAATCAATGGTAAAAACTATTGCCAAATCAGTTCTTCTGCAAGCAGATATCAATCAGAAAGGAAAACATCACGCTGTAAAAGTAAATAATCTATACTTTCTTGCTGGAAATCGTTTAATTTTTCGATGTTGAACTTTTTACGCTGTCTATGGTTGTCACAATAGTGCCTGTAATACCGAACGTCGTACAGAACGAGCGTTTTGATAGGTTTTAATCGCCTCATGAAATCATGAGGCAGCCAATGAAATTGCTGCCTTTGACACACCTCTAATAGACTTATATCGGCAAAAAATCCCACGGCTGATAAATGTTAATGGTTCAGCCGTGGGTATCCGACGATGGTCAACAGATGTCTTGAATATTTTGTAGGAACATAAAATTGAGGTATTCTAATTTGGATGGAGGTAGGGGTCAGTTGGGTCAAGGTCACCAGTGCTAAAAATAGATTTTTACACTTTTGCTCATACAGCCTTTATTTATTGACAGATTTGTATTATAATTGGTAGAAAGATAACTTACATGGTATTTTTCCTTTGGATGGAGTTAGGGGTCAGTTGGGTCAAGGTCAACAGTGCTAAAAATAGATTTTTACACTTTTGCCCATACAGCCTTTATTAATTGACAGATTTATTTCATATTTGATAGGAAAATAACTTGCATGATATTCTTCCTTTTGATGGAGTTAGGGGTCAGTTGGGTCAAGGTCACCTGTGCTAAAAATAGATTTTTACACTTTTGCCCATACAGCCTTTATTAATTGACAGATTTATTTCATATTTGATAGGAAAATAACTTGCATGATATTCTTCCTTTTGATAGAGGTATGGGTCAGTTGGGTCAAGGTCAAGGGTGCCAATTACAAATTTCTACACATGATTGGTTTTCTTCATGAACTGCGATAATTTGCTTGTTCTTATCATTTAAAAAAGTGTTAACAATTTGTGAAGGCATTTACTTACCGAGTTTAATAGCTAAAGGCTTTTGGGAGAAATAATCAATATGAAAAGGCTAAGACGGAAAAGAAACTGAAGGATAGAGTAAAACATGCTCAGGTGAGAAGACACATACAAATTAGCTAATTCACTCTCTAAATTTAAATTATTGACAACAGTGAGCAGTGGGGGGGGGGGGGCATTTGTGTTTATCAAACACAGATTCTTGTTTTTACATAGACTTATTTAGGGCAATGGCTTAAAAAACCTCCTGAAAAATTCAATGTTGAAGGCTTAAAGGTTTGACCTTGTAGTATTACTTGTCCATTTCCTGGTGCTCCTTTCAGTTGACTAGCAGTAAGTATCATAATGCTTTCTGTCTATTTTTCAGGTTTATTCACCATACCAGCAACATCTGTTAAAGTAGAGAACAAATCAATATTTGATGTAAAGGTAAGACAATGTGGGGAAAATACTCCATAACTAATGATTTGATCCTTTATACATATATGCCCCTTTTCAAAGGAATTGGGGTATATAACCCTGCTCATCTTTTATCTGTTTGATGACAGCTATATATTTTGAGGTCAGTTGATGAAAAGGTCTGTAAATAAAAAAGCTTGTTATACCAAAGTTGTATGGGGGTGAGGGTGGATGAGGGGGATGGTATACCGTCCATCCGTTGGTTTTTCCTTGTCCGCCCATTAACTTAAGAATCCTGTGACCAACAGTCTTCATATTTAGCATAGAGGTTTGTCATGATGAGTAGATGATCCCTTTTATTTTGAGGTCACTGGGTCAAAGGTCAAGGTCACATGAGGCTTGTGTGCCCATTAACTTAAGGTATGTTTGACCCACGGTCTTCATATCGTCGCCCTAATTCCCGAGTGTCGTAACTCCAATTTTGAAAAAAAATGAGTGTTTGGTATCAAAATGTTCGTAATTTTTTGCTCTATCTAATGGTAAGAACAACATCACTTTGGTTCTTGCCTGTAACAATATATTGAATGGGTCAGAGTGCTGTAAGTCCAAATATTTTGATAAAAATACAGTCCATAATATCGTATCTTCTGAACCAATAGTTTGTTAAGATTCTAGTCACGTGATGCTGTTTTGACAAAATGGCAGATTTTTCAAGGTATCAGGAATGGCATTTTACGTTTTATATTTCTTGATAACATGTAAGTGTTTTGCTTTAGATGCTATTTAATTATCTATAAATTAATATTTTATTGAACTTTTTCAAACCTTAAAAAGAAATAATAGCTACTCTTAACCCTTGAGCTAAATTTAAAGCACCATGCTGTGTTATGAAATTCGGATAGCATGGAAATCGGATAAATTGATACAAAATTTCAATATTCACAAGTATCAGCTGTTAATAACTTGATATGTGATTGATTATATGATCGATTGATCAATGTTACCATAAATTGTACATATTCATATTAAATATTTACACTCAGGTTTTGCATAAGATTGTTTATACTTTAACTTACAAACAAAACTCATCTAAGGGAAACATATTACTGCCATTGTTACATTTTGTACAATGTTTTTCTTTAACTATATAAGACAAATTACCGTACTGGTGCTAAGTGATTCGAATAAAATTTACACATAACTTTACCACTCATAACTAATGTTAAATTAGGTGGTGTTATCATATTTATTTCATAATTCATAATTTCATAATTTTCATAATTTCAAAATTCTGCACTTTCATATAACGATCACAAAAATATCAAAAGTTTTGCTGTCCAAGGCATTATGCAATCCAGAGTGGTTAACAATACCCACTGTCATATAGAAAGAAAGACAAAACACTTTTAAAATGGCAGAAGTGTTCAGTCCTACATCACTCGTTTGTGTTCTTAAAACAGTCCGTCCAAATGTCAAAGACTATATGGTGGGTTAAAGTTGAGAATATCCCTATAACAAAACTTAAAAAGCTGTGAGTTGTCTCAGATGCACCATTTAGCGTTGAATAAGAGACGTCATTTGCCCAACAAATATTTATTAAACAGATTTATTATGTAATTGGAACATGCAAAGCAAAATTAATCTATGTTTTTAAGTTAAAAACAATTATTGTACATCTACTTCCAACTCGTAAGGTAATTCTAACTGTTATTATCAAGTGATTTTAACCTTTGAACTGAAAATTATCCATTACCAAAGCATTTTTTTAAAAAGAAAAAAAAAATGGTTAAAAATTTTCATTCGATTGAAACGTAGAAAAGAATGATTTTGTGAAGAAATGTTACAAAGTCTTAAGACCATATAAAAACATTAAGGAATCTTTAAATTGTCATATTTATTTCATCAAACGTTTGTTGAAGTAAAATAGAATTATATTTGACTGAAACTCTTAAATATTGAGCATTGCTTTTATACGAATGAGTTATTGATGTAAACAGTTCAGTTAAAAACATTAAAAGCAAAGGTATATTTAATTGTTATTGTGTGTAAAGAAGTTGTATGCCACTTTATATATAAATACATGTAGTAATTGAAGTACAGTTACAAAGTTCATTGAAACACCATATCCAGATCTGTAGCATCTTTGAAAATTTATGAGCTTTGAGTTGTGTTTCATATATTTTTTTTAAAACAAAACATTAAGTAATGCTGCTCTTAGAAAAGTAGAATACATACTAGGTTTATTCTTTTTTATGTTACAGAGAAAGGAACTCATTGTTGATGTTGTTTTTCAAAGTTTAAGCAGTTACATCTTTCAAACATTTTTGTGTGTTTTGTAACTCAAATTGTGTTCAACATGCTGTTTGTCTGCAAGCTACAGGTATTAAAAATTGAATTTGGAATGAATTAATGATATAATAAACGAAACCAAAAGTAAATCTGAATTCCAAATATTTTATAGTGTACAGTCTTAATGTGAAAATAGCATATCATTTGATAAAAGTTTTGCTATTTAATGTGGTAAATATCAATACAATGATGATGTTTCTAAATTTTGTTTTCGCTTTGTTTAACTCAATGTGATACATTTACAAAATCAGTAATATTTTATTTTTTTTGTTCATTTGCAAAGCTCACTATTTCATGTAAATGGTCATAAGATAATGAAGCCCGAGTTCAATTTCAACCTTAAAATGCCTGTTCGTAGCTATTTACACTTCACCGCATTGTCTGGATTTCTATTATTGACTTTTAAGACTAAATTTACTGTTTTGATCCTGTACACATTCCATGCTCTGTGGTGCCTAAATAAATCTGGATCCAGACTATTTGTTAAAGCATTCAATTTCTAGTTACGTCTAAATTTAATATAATTTCAATATAAAACAGTAAAATAGTCATTATTTTACACTGTTGTAACTCCTAAATATAATGATATTTTAGGGTCACATTGCTGTAACTTATATAAGAGCATTCTGGTTCTTGTATTTTTGTCAATAAAATATATTTTTCAGGGATTTTTCATTTTTTTTTATTTTGATTTTTAAAAAAACTCTATATACCGGAACTTTTTTGTAATTAAAATTGTAAAAGTTAAAATAATTCTGCACACTATGATATATTTTATATTAAAATTGGTTGATTAAGTGTGAAGATATAGCCTGTTAAAACTTTAAATAAAGTCGATTTTCTCAAAATGGTAAAAATACGACTTACAGAAGGTTAGTTATGATTAGTAGATGACTCCTATTGATTTTGAGGTCATCAGGTCAAAGGTAAAGGTCACAGGGGCCTTTCAACAATTCACAGGTCACAGTTCAACAAGCTTGTCTGCTCAATTGCTTAACAATGCTATGGTCTCCTGAGTCTTCATATTTGGCATTGATGTTAGTTATGACTGGTAAATGACCCATATTAATTTTAAGGTCACTGGGTCAAAGGTCAAGGTCACAGCCCAATACCTTAAGAATCCTTGGACACATAGTCTTCAACTTTGGCATTGAGGTTGATTATGACCATTAGGTGACCCTTTTTGATTGTGAGGTCACAGGGTCAAGGTGATGGGCCTTTAGTTCAAAAGCTTGTCAGTTATATTGCTTAAGAATGCTTTGGTCAACAGTCTTCATATTTGGTATTGTACTTGGTTATGGCTAGAAGATGACCCCTATTTATTGTAAGTGACTGTGTCAAAGGTCAAGGTCTTAGGGGCTTTTACTGCAATAATTTTTTCCCCACAAATGCTTAAGAATGCCTGTCTTAAGTGTTATTGATTTTGACATTTTCACATTTGAAGCATATAATTATGTTCTCATAATTATATTTATCATAAAACACCCTAGACAAAGCTGCATCAATGGGGATATTCAAGTCATGTAGTGACAGTTTCGGTTTTGAGGTCAGTAGGTCAAAGGTAAAAGTCACTTTGATCTTTGCCACAAAAAAATGCAGAATACATAACTGGCTTAGCCCCCTCAGATTTGGCAGGGAGATTGTCCTTGAGCTCTAAAATGACCATTGTTGATTCTGACAAAGTGGTATGCGGGGGTATTCACAGCATGACAGTGGCAGGTCTAGAGCTAAAAATAGAAAAAAAACTTTTAACAGCTTCTGCTACTGAACCAATGGATGATTGATCACCAAATTTTGTCTGTAACATTCTTAGGTAGCCTTTAATCAAGTTTGCTCATATTAGTTTCATTGGCCCCTTTTAGGGGCTTCTATAGTTAAAAATAGAAAAACCTGAAACATTTTTGTCCCCTGCCTTTTAGCAGAAAAAAGGGGGACATAGAAAGAGGCTGTGTCCGTCTGTCTGTCTGTCCGTACGAACCCAGAGGTACTTGTGTAACTTTGAGAACAATGGGTACCAGTAAATTCTCTTTGATCCTATTCATTCCGTTTTTACTTGTCTTTTTTTAAGCCTTGTGTGACTAAAAATGGCCAAAAAGATCAAAGGAAAAGTCACATAAGTACCATTTTGTGAGTACGTCCATCTCACAGTCCATCTGCCGTTCATCACACTCTTGTGTCTGGTCCATAACTTTGTCATTTATCAAAGGAATCTATAACTTAGCACAAATGTTTGTTATAATAAGACGATGTGTCATGCGCAACAACCAGACCCCAACCTCCAGGGTCAAGGTGGCACTTGCTCATTCAAGGTCAACATTGTCTATGTGAGGGTGTATATTGTGTCCGGTTCATAACTTTCTTATCTTTGAAGGGATTTTGTAAATACTTGCCACAATTGTTCAAAATAGTTCGACGATGTATCGTGCGCAACAACCGGTTTCATACCTCCAAGGTCAAGATTACACTTGGAGGTCAAAGATTAACATAGTCTGTTATAGGGTATATTTTGTGTCCGGTCCATAAATATTTCATAGATCAAAGATTTTTGTAAATACTTGCACACAAATAGCCACTATAATAAGATGTGTCATGCGCAACACCTGCATCCTACCTCCAAGTTCAAGGTTACACTTAGAGGTCAAAAATTTACATAGTCTGTTTAAGGGTATATTTTGTGTCTG